ATGTACAGCAGTATTCCAGCCTAGAGAGAACAAGTGATTTGAAAAGGATCATCATGGGCTTGGCATCTCTCGTTTTGAAAGTTCTCATTATCCATCCTATCATTTTCTTTGCACGTGCGATCGTGGCACTGTTGTGATCCTTGAAAGTGAGATCCTCAGACATTACTACTCCCAGGTCCCTTACATTATTTTTCCGCTCTATTGTATGGCCGGAGTCAGTAGTATACTCTGTTCTAGTTATTATCTCCTCCAGTTTTCCATGTATCCAATTTTTCTATATTAAGAAAATCATCTGTTTCTTATAAGTGTGATGCTGACTTCATCTCCCATCACGTCATAAAATGGGATGGTAATATTTCCATCCCGTGTATATGTGTGTGCGTGTACATGCGGGTGTACACTTGTGTAGAGGCTTGACTCACCACACACACACACATACACACACACACACACATACACACACACACACACATACACACACACACACACACACACACACACACACACACACACCTAGTAGCAACCGGTGAAGAGGCGGGGCCAGGAGCTAGGACTCGACCCCTGGATCCACAAATAGGTGAGTACACACACACACACACACGAGAGGTATGATAAAGCTCACGGAGCGGGTAGAGTGACTGAAAAGCGGCCAGTGAAGCTGAGACTCGACCCAGCAACCACAACTAGGTGAGTACACACACACACACCACACACACACACACACACACACACACACACACACACACACACACACGGTCATAACTAGAAGTTAAAAACTCAGATGAGTCACAGGAATGTCAGGAAGTATTTCTTCAGCACTAGAGTTGTTAGTAAGTGGAACAATCTGGAGACTGATGTGGTGGAGGTAGAATCCATACATAGCTTTAAAGAGAGGTATGGCGCGGTTCTTAGAGCAGGGAGTGGACCTAGTAGCGACCAGCGAAGGAGCTGCAAATTCGCCCCTGCAACCACAAATAGGCAAGCACGCTCGCTCGCGCGCGCGCGCACACACACACACCTTTCCAACCAAGAGTGGTACACACAATAACATGCGGTGCTCTGTAAGAGGAGATACCATTACAAACACTACAGAGGGAGGGACAGGGCGAGGGCGGCCGTTGCTACGATGACCCACACAACTCTTCAATCCCTTTTACTTTCTTGTTCGGTTTCGTCAGCCTGAGCAGCGCAAGCCGTCAATCCACCTGTCACATTCTCACTCACCCTCCACTCTCTGCACTACTTAGCCACAGGAGAAACCCTGATAACTGGCGTACAGATGACATAATCAACCGGCTCTCAAGTACCCGGTAACTGTGAGAGAGTAACAAGAGTAGAGAGACAGGTTGTAAACTCGCAGTGAGCGCGCCTGTTGCCATATTCTCGTCATAACACTATTTCAACTCCATCTACCCTTAATCCCTTACCGTTTCATTTCCCCTTGACGCCAGACTACTTTTATTTCCCTAAAAGCATACTACTTCAAGACTGGCAGGTGTAGCAGTATTAAGAAGGGTTGATAGAGGACTTTGAAGGTACATGTTGTGACTGGAGAGTACTGTTGACCGGGGCTAGGCTGGTGGGTGGGTGTCGCAATATGGCTGCTGTCGCCCTCACAACCTCACAACACTCTTACCTCCACTACGTAAACCTCATATTCACGCTGCCTTAAAAATAGCCCACTTGAGTACTGGCACCTTACACACTCACGCCCTTCCTCAACATCACCACACATATCTTGCTCCTAAGACTTACACATTACGATGTGCACCAGATGGTGGTCCCGATTGTGCAATGTACAAGACGCTTGTTTAAACACCAAATGTAACTCAGACGTCAATGATCGTGTCATTAATTAACATAGTGCAAGCGGTGAGATAATGAAATTCCTTCACCCGCGTCCTTTGTATACCAGGTCGTTCCTACGACCTGCGTGATTTGATGGTTCCTACAACCTGCTTGGCCTACCTGATAGTTCCTACGGCCTGCGTGGCCTACATGATAGTTCCTATGACCTGCGTGATTCCTATGACTTGTATGGTTTACCTAGTGATGGTTCCTACGACCTGCATACGTGATCTACCTGGTGATGATTCCTACGACCTGCACACGTGATCTACTGGTGATGATTCCTACGACCTGCACACGTGCTCTACCCGGTGATGATTCCTACGACCTGAGCACGTGGTCTATCTGGTGATACTTACGACCTGCGTGGCCTACATTGTGGGCGTTCCCACGACCACTCCTCCAGCTTACCTAACGTGCCTCCCCTTCCGAGGATTGAACCTGACTGTCTCCCACTCCAAATCCCCTAAATGACCCCTGCGGCTGCAGCACTTCCTGATTATAAAAATTCCCGACAACATTTCTGCATACTAGGCTTCCTCAGTCAAGACCGTTACTTACGCTGAAGCTGTATCGGCTGCACAGCTAAAGCTGACAGTAATCTCGCAGCAAATTATTATAAATTATATTTATTAATTATAGATCTTAATTGTTACAAATATTAATTACTATAAATTATACTGGAAAAAGGAAGGAAATAAGGTTTGATACCAGGGAAAGTAAGGGTAGTTCCGATTCCTCGAATCCAGAGAGCTTCACCAGCAATAAAGTAATCGCCTCCTTCCTGGAAGGAAGAGACTGCTGTAATGTAATAGACGAGTAAAAGAGTGCACTTAAAGAGAGAGAGAGAGAGAGAGAGAGAGTGCACTTGAAGAGAGAGCGAGTGCACTTGAAGAGAGAGCGAGTGCACTTTAAGAGTGCGAGAGAGGAGCAGGTCAACACACACAGACAGGAACAAAACAGTCGACACAGCAGAGAGCGACACTCAACTAAGTGCTCACTATTAACACGAGTCACAGCACAACCAGGCTAAACCAACATAATAATAATCATTGTACTATGTTATTATTACTATTATTATTATTACCACCTCAAGAATTGCCACCAATACACGACCGTTACTACCAACACCACCACTGTAGCCACTAACATTATCACCACCGCTGTCACCACAACCACCATATATCCACTGACATTACTATCACCACAAATACCACCATCACCACTACAACCGCCAACATCATACTCACCACTCACACCAGGTACAAACATGACCACCACTACCACTATCATTATACGCCATTAAACCAATAAACACCAAGCAAGACAATGATTATAATGATAAAACATGTTTGTTAAAACGCCAAAGTTCATCGATTAAATACCATAATTCAAGGGTGTGTTGTGTTCTGCTCTATGGTGTCTAACAAAATTAACCTATCGAGATGCTTTCAAACTATACCCAAGTGCAATATACAACCAGTATTAAGGGTATACAATACTTTATTTTTTTATTTAGCAAAATTAGATATATTATATTGGCAGTGTTACTAAGCTATATCATAAACTGCACAGTGGGAAGAAGAGCTAACTGTGCTTTCCCTGCCATGTTCCATCACTCAGAATACTGCTTATACAATGTTGACATCTGTCAACCTGAGAAAGAGGAATGAAGGAAGAGGGCAAGGAGGGAGGGGGGACTTGAGACTTACGAAAGAAGCAAATTGGACGAAAGCTAGAGAAAGAAGGCGGGAAGATGGAGGGAGGGAGAGGGAACGGAGGGGGAGGGAGTAGAGGGAGAGAAACGAGGGAGTAAGAAGGTCGCATCTTGCAAAAGCTAAACAAAAACCCTTGGCTAATAACCTCAGCAACTGGTGTCGAGCAACTGTGTAAGGATACCAGCTGACCACAGTATCTGAGGCCATGCTCTTCCTCCCTCTCCTTACCCTCCTCCCCATCAACTTCCATCACTCCCTATCCACCTTCGTAATTCTCCCTCTAATTCCTACAATGAGATTCCAACCAGGCTGTGATGGATATGTGGGGTGCAAGCCACCAACAGCAGCAGCCTGGTTGACCAGGCAAGCACCAGACGAGCCTGGCTCGTGGCCGGGTTCCGGGTGTAGAAAAACACACTGATTCACTAAAGGTATATCAAAGGTTAAAGGTAGCCCCTTAGCGCAGCTGGAGTTACCTCATAACTCAAGTGCTAGTGCGCCAGGCTCACAACTAAATGGAACAGCCCGGGTTGAATCCTGGAAAGGGAGAGAAGTATGGGCTAATTTCCTAGCAATTTGATTTTTTTTTGCACAATTTTCAGTTCGTTTTAAAGTCCAGTCTTATCTGAAGTATGCTAACATCACTTGAGATGCCGCCCACAACAATTGGCTAACACCCAGGTATCTACTGACTGCTTGATAAACAGTGACAGCAGGTGTAAGGAACATGCCCATAGTTTCCACCTGTGCCGGGGATCGAACGATGGACCCCTCACTAAGCCGAGTGCGTTAACAACCTAACAGCACCTGGGAGTTGTTAGTTGCATCCTGGGGAAGAGGACCGAAAAAATAAAACACAGTGCTTGGTTCTCTTATGTTATCCTGGGTTATTAATCACCAGGGCTTACTCGTCCGTATTCATTATTATTATAATCACGGGGGAGTGCTAAACCCGTAGGATTATACAGCGTATGTCGGGAGGGGGTTATGGACGGTATTCAGGATCAATTCAGGGGACCGAAGCACAGATCCAATTCCCTAGATCAAGAGTCCTTCACCAGCGTCAAGGAACCTCCCTTGAGGGGTATTCCGTATGCAATCTTTTCTTGCTACTCCTTATAGATAGTCTAGGTAGGCCGGATGTCATATTAAATACTCCCCTCCACCCCTACTCCTTCCCCTCCCTTTAAAAAAATTTCCAATCAGGCAAGCTAGAAAGTTGGTGTGAATGTATTGCAGCAGCGGTGAGTGGCTTGTGTTGCTTGAGGTTACAGCGCACATCTGTCCATTCTAACAAGCCTTGTTCCACCTGCCTTGTTCCATCTGCCTTCATCCACGTGTGCTCCCACCTACCTTCCTCCACCTGTGCTTATACCTAACAAGACACATGTGCAACACCTGGTCATCATTACGTTAACGGCATACAATACACACCTGCGTATCTTTATTGCCAGACGTCGCGTCTGCGCAGTAGGCTGGTCGGTATTAAACCTTTGATCTAATAATGTGCTTCTACCCGTCGTGTTCCACATGTACTCTTTCCACCTGCTGACCTCCACCTGTCTTGACCCAGCGGCTTCACCCAACCCATTTTGCTTGTGTATTCTCACTATATTTACTTCAGAGATGTATTATCTGAAATATATATACCGGAAGAACATAAAAAATAATAATATATATATAATATATATATATATATATATATATATATATATATATATATATATATATAATATATATATATATATATATATATATATATATATATATATATATTATTGATAAATTAGACACATGTGCAACTCTTGGGTATCTTTATTGAGGAAACGTTTCGCCACACAGTGGCTTCATCAGTCCATACAAAGGAGAATCTTGAAGAACAGGAGGAGAATGAGGTAATCAGTCCCTCAACCTTGAGTCGATGTGGTCAGTCCATCAATCTATTCAAGATTGATGGACTGACCACATCGACTCAAGGTTGAGGGACTGATTACCTCATTCTCCTCCTGTTCTTCAAGATTCTCCTTTGTATGGACTGATGAAGCCACTGTGTGGCGAAACGTTTCCTCAATAAAGATACCCAAGAGTTGCACATGTGTCTAATTTATCAATATAATCCTTGCCAGAATTTGGCATAGCAAATTAATATTATACACATTAATATAATTAGCTACACTTGGCTTATCAATTACACATACACTGATATAAATCTTGGCCAGAATTGTATTATCAAATTAATATTGTACAAATACATTAATATAAATCCTAGCTACTTTGGCTTTGCAAAATTAATATACACATTAATATAATTAGCTACATTTGGCTTATCAGTTACACATACACTTATGCACCTTAATATAATCTTTAGCCACACTTGACTTATCCAAATTAATATTGTAATAATTATAATCCACTACACATTAAGTAAATTTGTGAACTTAACATCCACCTCCTTCTGTCATTTCACATATAATTATTAAGTAATTAACTAATTAATGACTTCACTAATTACCTCCGGTTCAAGAAGGACCAACGGGCAAATTAAATGTGGAAAATTGCATTTATCTGAATGTAACTCATTATATACATAACAGAAAATGATAACAAAGATAATTACTATTTATCAGAGTTACATAGACAAGTAGGAATTTGGGACACCTAGGTCGCAAAAATGTCCCCCTTCGATACCTACAACTGTCATATCCACAAGTTGCTCTGGACCTATTAATTAAATGAAATATACATACACCAGGAATACTGGTAAATATATAAATTTGTGGACTGTATATTAAAAATTAAAGAATAATTATAGATATACACAATTACCTAACAGAAAGAGAATATCTTAATATCATTCACCAATTTGACTGGAGATTAAGTTGTATCATACTCAGAAAAACCTCACTAACTAAATTTATGAAAACACTGGCCAGAATTATACCCAAATCTAGAGAGCTTATCTGAGGTTCCTGGAGAGGTCTTGTCCAGTCGCCTGATATCTCAAGTTATGCAGGAATGCACATCCACCAATTTCGCCTCCTATTTCAGAGGTGTCAACACAATTTTAACCTCTAGAGCACGAAAAATTTCTACCCATTACACCAACGTTCTAATTCAAATTCAAAACCAAGATGGCGAGTCTCCTGCCCAGACGCAGGCTTTCCGTTTTCTATGACATATTATTAAATACAGTTTGGCCATCTATTTACATATAAATACTGAATTTCTGGAAAATATATACAGTATTTTCCACAGGTACTTTCATGCCTATTGCTTCATCTGCCATATCCAGCTCAGATCTTAGATTTGTGGGAGCATTCAGGAATATGGTATACATGGGAAGATTAGGATTTTTATATTATTATTATAATCAAAAAGAAGCGCTAAGCCCAAGGATTTTTATAACCTTCGACGTTGTCTCATCCTCAGTGCAAATTAGGTACGTAGTATAATTGGAGATCTTCCGCGCCATCTTCATAGCTCAGAAATGTTCATAAGCTCCTTCTCCGCACGTATGCCGTATTCTATTCTAGATTGATGGACTGACCACATCGACTCAAGGTTGAGGGACTGATTACCTCATTCTCCTCCTGTTCTTCAAGATTCTCCTTTGTATGGACTGATGAAGCCACTGTGTGGCGAAACGTTTCCTCAATAAAGATACCCAAGAGTTGCACATGTGTCTAATTTATCAACATGTCGGTTCTCTGAACCATTCATCTACATATATACATATACACTAATATAAATAAACCAGTACATATACATATATCAGTACAAGTATATATGAATGATTACGATGAATGGTATAAAATAATAAAACCTCATTTCACTATGCTTTTTATATATACTCGTGTATTCTCTGCTTAGGTAGATCTGTTTGTGACTTGATAAAGGCCACTGTGTGGGCGAAACGTAGTCAATAAAGAATCACATTATACTGCATTTGTGTACTTTTCTATGAATGATTTCGTCCCATTCCCAATGCATTGTATCTAACATCAACACAGGTCGTCAGCATTTACACACACACACACACACACACACACACAAAACACACACACACACACACACACACACACACACACATACACACACACACACACAGGACCTGTTTGGAACCCGCACTTGATAAAGCACGTCAAGAAACTAGAGAAAGTACAAAGATTTGCGACAAGGTTAGTTCCAGAGCTAAGGGGAATGTCCTATGAAGAAAGATTAAGGGAAATCGGCCTGACGACACTGGAGGACAGGAGGGTCAGGGGAGACATGATAACGACATATAAAATACTGCGTGGAATAGACAAGGTGGACAAAGACAGGATGTTCCAGGGAGGGGACACAGAAACAAGAGGCCACAATTGGAAGTTGAAGACACAAAGGGTCAGAGAGATATTAGGAAGTATTTCTTCAGTCATAGAGTTGTAAGGCAGTGGAATAGCCTAGAAAATGACGTAGTGGAGGCAGGAACCATACACAGTTTTAAGACGAGGTTTGATAAAGCTCATGGAGCGGGGAGAGAGAGGGCCCAGTAGCAACCGGTGAAGAGGCGGGGCCGGGAGCTAAAACTCGACCCCTGCAACCACAAATAGATGAGTACAAATAGGTGAGTACAGGAGCTTGACTCGACCCCTGCAACCTCAACTAGGTGAGTATACACACGCGCGCGCAAACACACACACACACACACACACACACACACACACACACACACACACACACACACACACACACAGAGTTGTCAGGAATTGGAACAGTCTGGAGAGTGATCCATACATAGCTATAAGAAGAGATACGATAGATAAAGCTCTTGGAGCAGGGAGAGAGTGGACCTAGCAACGACCAGCGAAGAGGCGGGACCAGGAACTGTGACTGACCCCTGCAACCACAAATAGGTGAGGACACACACGTTCCTCTTGTACAGCCCGAGGCTCGTCTGCCACTCAACTCATCCCTGTCATCCATCATCAGGGAGGGAGGGAAGGGTTCTAGTAGTGAACAGGTAAGGTTCTAGTGGTGATCATGTAGGGTTCTAGCACTAACCCCTGCGACTCGTGCAGTAACAAGTCTCCTTCAGTCTCTCGTTAAGAGTCTCCTTCAGTCTCTCGTTAAGTGTCTCCTTCAGTCCCTCGTTAAGAGCCTCCTTCAGTCCCTCGTTAGGAGTCTCCTTCAGTCTCTCGTTAAGAGCCTCCTTCAGTCTCTCGTTAAGTCTCCTTCAGTCCCTCGTTAAGAGCCTCCTTCAGTCTCTCGTTAAGAGCCTCCTTCAGTCCCTCGTTAAGTCTCCTTCAGTCTCTCGTTAAGAGTTTCCTTCGGTCCCTCGTTAAGAGCCTCCTTCAGTCCCTCGTTAAGAGTCTCCTTCAGTCTCTCGTTAAGAGCCTCCTTCAGTCTCTCGTTAAGTCTCCTTCAGTCCCTCGTTAAGAGCCTCCTTCAGTCCCTCGTTAAGAGTCTCCTTCAGTCCCTCGTTAAGAGTCTCCTTCAGTCTCTCGTTAAGAGTCTCCTTCAGTCTCCTTCAGTCTCTCGTTAAGTCTCCTTCAGTCTCTCGTTAAGAGTCTCCTTCAGTCCCTCGTTAAGAGCCTCCTTCAGTACCACGTTAAGAGTTTCCTTCAGTCCCTCGTTAAGAGCCTCCTTCAGTCTCTCGTTAAGAGCCTCCTTCAGTTTCCCATTAAGAGTCTCTCAAAAACATTGTCAGAAATTAAATGCTTTATATATATAAAACTTAGACAAAATTAACAATAAAATCTTTCATTACTTCAGTCTCCAGAGCTCATTTTATTTACGAGGAAATGCTAAACCTGTAGGGATCACATGGGGCCCTGGGGTATATGGGAGGGATTCAGGTTCGATCCAAGGAAGGCGTGAGAGTTTACGTCCCGTTCCTTGAATTAAGAGCTCCCCACCGGAATCAAGCTTTGATGACAATATATTACATGAGTCTCTCAGGGAAACCACGGTACGGGCGGGGACTGAACTCATGGCAAGTGAGTCGTAAAACTCCAGGCCAGTGCGTAAGTCACTGGCCTGGGTAACGCTGTGGGGTAAGCGTTGGACTTAAAACCCACGGGTCCCAGGGGCAAACTCCACGCAGGAGAAGCATGTGGGCACGTTTTCCCGCTCCCCTGCAGTAAAAACAAAATAGACACCGTATCTTAGCCAACTGTTGTGGGAAGCATCGCCGAAAGCAACGCTATGATAACGATTTTCTGAACGTGCCTCCCTTAAGTAACACTCGCGCTTGGCGCTTTATCTCTACGAGTGTGCTAGTTACCAAGTGTCGAAGGGACTTATCGATAAATTACCCTTTTTTGTGTGGGGGGTTTGTTTAAGCTCTTATGGTGTAATTCACTAGTTGGAATAAACATTAAATAACATTCTAGATGTCCTAATGCTGGTGTTCTTCTCTAAACTCTCACCAGTGTTACAGCTGCTAAGTGACACATCTCACAAACAACTTAATTAACCCTGGAACTACCTATCACAAGACCAATAAACGTCACATATTAAACTTGTAATTTGTAAATGCTTAATTGGTACGAGATGAGGAAGACAGATGAGAGGCTGTCAACACGCTGATGAGACCTGTCCTGCCTGACAGGGCTGGCTTAGGGGTAGGGGTGTTCTGCAGCAGGGTTGGGTAG